AGTTAGGCCACCTGAGCAGGCAGAATGGGTCACACATGCTGGATTTGGGACTCGGCTTGTAAAAGAAATGGCATTTAAAAAAATTCCTTCAGTAACATAATGACTGTAACAGAATTGTAAGAGATCACAGAAGTCACTTCCTCCCCTTTCCCATTCAAATCAGGGTCCTTCTGCACATGTCAAAAACTTCCTTTTATAGCACTCACAACTGACAAGTTGGTGGTCTACCATTCATATCCAAATATGGTGATTATCTCTCTAGTGAGTTTCCTTGTTATGAAATAAATGATTCCTAAACAACTGATTATTCTTTATATGAAGAGACTTCCCAGCTTTCTTTCATCTGCATCACTTCTTTCTTCTACACTACTATAAATTGGCAATGTCCATCTAATGCAGAGATCAGTACTGAATAAGCTACTCTAAATATGACACTAGATCTGGATGCTTTGTTTCTGTTAGTGTAAGATGATGTGGTCCTCTTTAGAAGTTGTGTCATACTCTGGACTAATATTTGCACACATTACCCTGTTTAAAATACTGATGAATTTCACAGATAATTAATTCCTGCTGTCAAAAATATCCAGTGGTGCCTACCATTTGTGTTTCTGAACAATCTGGTCTCAAGTCTACATTTTTTTTTTATCCTTATCTCTCAGCATTTCATCAATGTTAATGTTTTTACTTCTAAAATTGACTATCCATTTCCACATTATCTTGTTTCAGAAACTCACTGAAGACATTTTCATCTCACTATAAGTAGCTATAAAAGTAACCCAAGAGTCTGTCTTACATCCTTTCACTGAACACAGAAATACCACAATTATCCTATTTTAATATTTTTAAGTGAATCACTACATGAAACAGTCCACTACATGAAGGTAAAAGATTTATAAACTGAGTAATATTTCACTTATAAATATATGTGGTCACATTTGTTTTTATGCACCTCTAAAAGGAAAACTTTAAAACTATCTAGAATGTGAGCAGTTCATGAAAAGTCATTTACAAAACCAAAAAAAAGTAACGACTTTCATAATAACAACTATGTATTCTATCTAAAATTGCAATTCTTTTGTTAGATTTGCCATATTTCATTTTCTAATACTTTATTGGCAAGTGTACTTAAAATTTTTTTCTAGGAAAAAAATACTTTAAAATACTATAATTTATAAACAATGGAGTGCTACTCTGCCATTAAGCAAGATAAACTAGAGTCATCTGCAGGAAAATGGATGTACCTTCAGACCATAATGTTAAGTAAAATAAATTAGATACACAAGCTTAAATAATGCATGATTTCTCTTATATGAGAAACCCAAAGTATAAGTAAAGAGCAAAATAAAAGACATATGATAGAAAGGAGGTAGATCTTTATAAAAAGGGAAAAGGGATGAAGAAAGGGTTAAGATGTCTCATGTACACATACCAATTCCTCACAAGGAATATAAACATGATGCACTGTAAACACGTACAAAGAAATAAATAATGAGATACTGTACAAAGATAAAAACAGAACAAATATTGAATATTTAAATAAATATATTCTTTAATAAAACTTACCTTACTATTCCCTGCCTTTGAAAGGAGTAAGTGGAAAAAGAGAAACATGAAAATTGATCATGAGTAAAGAGCAGTTTATAAGCACGAGTAAAGCTACCACATAGCAATAAAATTCGAAGGAAATACAAAGCATCTAGATTTTGTCATATTGTTTTGAATATTTTCATTAAAAGTATCGGGAATTTGGAAAAAGTTACTATTTTATATATACAAGATTTGCTACTATAGAACTCAGGGCCTCACACATGCTAGGCAAGTGCTCTACTGATGAGCTACATCGTCTGCCCCCATGTGCCTCTTTACTCTTCCATCTTTGATTTTAAAAGCATCAGGTCAATTTCTCTCTTGATCTGTGATCTAACTCTGAGACTATTAAAAGTTGTCTCCTCATGCAATTGCTGTGCATATCTACTTTTTTTTGATAATTACAGATCAAGACTAATAACTTCCATTAAAGATAAGCTATACTTCAGCCATCCTGTTTTGGAAAATTTTGAAATGATGGTCTATCCTTGATGAAGGGCACATGGAGAGATAAAAACTGAATCAAACCTCTGCTCATAGGCTTCTTAAAAGGTACTGGGCACTACATTCAGATTTTATCATCTCTCCCAACTCCACTAAAGTTGCCATGTAAAGTCACTTTAACACATCAACTGTATACGTGTATGTAACACTCCTTAAATTATGCACAAAGACAGTATTATCACAAAAAAGCTTTTAAAGACCAACATGTTTTCTTGTTTTTGTTTTTTGTTTTTTGTTTTTTGAGACAGGGTCTCACTATGTAGCCCAGGCTGGCCTCGAACTCACAGTGATCCTCCCGCCTCCGCCTCCCGAGAGCTGGGATCACAAGCGTGTCCCACCACGCCCGGCTAAGACCAGCATGTTTTCTAAGAGTTGCTAAACTACATAAATTAAGAATACTACTGTTACTTAGCTTCTGTAGAAAATGTGCTTAAATAAAAAATTCAATATTAATATCAACATTTTTTTTGTCACCTAATTTTAAACTTATTACCTCTCATCAACTGAGGGTTCTTTTTGTTGCAAATGAGGCTTGATTCCAAACATCGGGCGGATATTTGTTGATAAGGCTCTGATGGTGTAACTGATTTCATTCTCCCTTGTAACATCAGTGTCATAGCCTACCATCGAAATATAAAAGTTAATCTTTAAATGAAATGGGAAAGATCAATTATAATCTTAGATATAGGTATACCCAACAATATTAAATAAATTGAGTTATGCTCAAATTATAAAATAATATGCAGCCAGTAAAAATTATGTAGAAGAGCATTTAGTGCTATGTAATGTTTTTGAAGTACTGCTAGGAAGTATGACCAAGTCACAAAATAAATTTAATATGATGTCCTTTCTGTTGAAAAATTATGTATTAGTAATGTGTAAAACTACCAAAACACAGTTTTTTGTTAAAAAGTATCATGTAGCCTTAAATACACATATACCTTAGGATATACCTCAAATGCTAACAAGTTAACTTGTGAGTGGCTGAATATAGATACTATGTTTATTTCTTATTGCAAAAGGTTTTTTCCATAATGAAGCAGTATTACTGGTACCTTAGGAAGAAATAAAAATTATTTTAAACTATGAAGTTCAATACATTTAAACAGTACTCATTTAAAATGTGATTATTTCACATTTATAGTTGAAGAATACCAAAGTCATCAATATATGCCAGCCTATTATTCTTGAGTCACAAAACCAATCTTGGTGTCAAATTAACATCACAATTAACCATTATTAGTACTTTTTAAAAGCTTCTGCAGTTTAAATCAGCTCTGCTAATTTTTTCTATGACTTTGTTAAAATGTTTTAAAATGACAGACCTCCATCTTCTTCAGAATCTATATCAGATTCTTCACTATCACAAGTCCTTTTCTCTCGATAGCTCTCCATTTCACTTGTCCACACCATTAAAGACATATCTGCACCTCCGAGGGTAACCAACATGCTGTCATCATACGTCCAGCGAACATTTGTGACATGTGTACTATGGGCCACATACCTCTTAAACTTTCCAAATTTTCCCTAAAGATAAGAAAAGTCAAACTCTTTCTGAGAAATTTTATTTGAAAACTTGTAATACCAAAAAATTATATTTTAGTTATTTCTTTCTTAAAATATCACTAGAAATTTGTTATTTCAAGTGCAACATGTATAAAATACATGAAAAAATACCAAAATTTGCTGAAATAAAATAACAATTCCAAAATCTGGTCAGAACAGAATAACGATATTTCCCGCACGGCTTGGTATCATTAACTCTTTTAGAACCCAAGCTGGTATTCTGCATGCTAATAAACTGCTATGTGTGCAAAAAATATTTACCATAGTAGTCACTTATGGTAGTAAAAAATAATATTCAATAGAATGAGAGTTAACTGCTGTGTACATCTATGGAATAGTGTATATGTAAGGAAAACAATGTTATACAGATATGTTACTGTTGGAAACACAATCATTGAAAAAGTATACAAATCCCCTGCACAGCATGGCTATAGTAACAAAAGTATCCACTGCTTTGGGGTATGAAATATCTTTCCTCTTAATTCATTAGTGCTTTTGTTTATAAGACTACACTTATATGTAGAATGAATTTTCTATTTTGTGTGTATGTGGGATGCTGAGGATCAATCCCAGAACCTCCCACATGCTCAGCAAGCAGTTGACCAATGAGCCATATCCCTAACCCTGTATTTTCCTTTTCAATATTAAAAAAAATTCGCACAATGCCAAGTTATAGATGTTGACCACTTTTAAATCTAGAACATCAGCATTACCAAGTTATATAAGTAAATTTCAGACCAATATATCATTAAGTAGGTTTTAGGTGGACACTTTTCTTTTTAGGAACATTATTTCAAAAAGCTTTAATAAAGTCAGTTATTTAAAAAACAATCAACCTACAATATCAACACTGTCTCTATGCTTAAAGCAGTGATGTGAACTGAGAAATTTGGTCTTTACTGTTTTGGTCCCTTAGAAGTATTTGTTAAATACGACTTTGAACTTTCCAGTTGCAAACTGAGCCTTCCTGGGCCCAAGCACTGTTCCCCACTAGAGCTGTTGTTTGTTGTTTCTGTTTTCAGTGCTGAGGGTCATATCCAGGCCTTGTACATGATAGGCAAGTGTCTACCACTGAACTTCACCTCCTGCCTACAGTTTTCTTCAGGACACTCAGTTTTTATACAGTATTCACCCTCTGCATTATTTTCTCCTTCTCCTTTTGTGGTATGAAGATTTGAACTTAGGGCCCTGCACATGCTAGCTAGGCACTCTGCAACTGAGTTACACCCCAGCCCTTTTCTGAAACAGAGTCTCACTGAGTTGCCCAAGCTGGGCTCAAACTTCCAATCCTCTTGCCTCAACCTCACAAGTAGCTGAGATTACAGGTATGTGCCACTGTGCCCAGCTGAATTTTCTTCTTAAAAGAGAAATAAGATGAACACAATGCAAGCTGTGGATCTTGCTTGTTAGGATGAAACAGTTTCCATAGAAACTCCAGTATGAGGCTCTGTGGCACCTCCTGACCTAGTCACTTCTGCTCCTCTCTGTCTGTGATTACTACAGCATCTACCTCAGCTATCTCTTCAACCACAGCGAAATCAATTCCATTGGGCTGTTGTTGGGCTATGGCCTCCAGCCTAAGACGGTACTGTTCTGCATCCTGCTCTTTCCTTAGGAGCTGGTGCCGGTATTCCTGGGCTCTTTGATTGGCCTCCTTGTTGCTACTGTAGTAACTCTCTTTTGCTGCCCTCCTTACTCTCCTCCACACTGTCATCTCTCCCATCCTTGCTTTCTCTGTCAGTGGTAACTTCTCTGCTTCTTCCTCTTCCTCCTCAATCACAGTCTCCTCTGCAATCTGACCTGACCAACAGGTACAGTTAGAACTTGCTGTCCGTCTTACATAGTTATGATAAGTGGCTGGCCCAGGCCTGCAGCAGGGAGGGCAGCTTGGAGGTTCCCCAGAGGGACCCCATCGGTCACTATGATGATCACTCTCTGGCCTCCACTCCCCACCACTTGCTGGACCAATGAGTCAACTGAATCTCCCTCTGTGATTTCTTCTGGACTGACTGCGGCTCTGTGTGAGTTGGAGAAGGGGGCAGACACCTCAGCAAGGGCAGCAAGGGTGGCCAGCACTGAAGTGGTAGAATTTGAGAACTGTACTGCTGAGGAATGGGGGTCACGGGAGGTTGTTTTGGTGTTGGCTGAAGAAACAAGGCTGGCGAGGTTAACCACCTCTCTGGAGGTGAAGATGAATGGTGCAGCCACCGTCATGGGGTTGGTCATGGAGTTGGCTCTCTCGGGGTTGGCAGTGACCTGACTCTGCATTGCTTCCTGCAGGATGACCAAAATCTCAGCATTGTTTTTCTCCAGAGCTATGTCAAAGGCCGATTTATCAAACTTGCTGAAAGCATGAACATCAGCCCCGTACTTGATAAGCAGCTTGACAACGTCCCGATGGTGCTCTGTGGCCCAGTGCAAAGCTGTCGTCTTCAGCATGTCCTTGGCATTCACATCGGCACCATTCCTAACAAGCAGCTCCATGACGTGTGTGTGTCCGTCGGCTGCGGCCATGTGCAGAGGGGTCCTGTCCACTTTAGTGTGGGTGTCCCTGCTGACGCCAGTGTGAAGCAGCACTTCTGCAGTGGAGTAGTGTCCAGGCTGGGCTGCAAGGTGCAGCGGGGAGGTTCCAAGCCAGCCTGTGGTAAATGGGGCACCACCGGCCATCAACATCCTCACTTCATCATCTTGGCCTTTTCTTGCTGCTCCCAGCAGCCTCTTCCCCAAGTCCGCCAGAGACATCTTCATGCATAGAAACGGAGGTTTTCAGGAAGCTCTGTTGCCTGAAGATCATGTATTTCGTTTCAGCTGCCAGCAGCAAGTTCTCAGATGGGACTGCGAAACCAATACCTACTGTGTGTTCCTTTTGGGGGCGCAGAAGATAGGTGGACACTTTTTAAGGTTGTTAAAATAAGATGCCTTTAAGAAATAAAACATAATGAATAGTAAAATTTGAACATTACCTGGGAGAGACAGAATGGAACGGTCATCAAAATACTGTATTTCTAAGGTTATGTGATTCTTGCTATAATGAAGACAAGACATAATCTATAGGCCCATATCCTAGAGTCACTTGTTCCTAAGGGATTTATATGATCTAGAATCCTGAAAGTGAAGTTTCTGACTGAAAAAGTTCTAGTGGAACATATTCTTGTCAACCAAGGTTCTACCACTTCTATGTATTGAAAACAGGATCTGTACAATATTTTCTTGAGTATCTAAGTTCTGTTTTCACTTCAGTGTTGCTATAAAAATATTGATATATGAGCAGCTACTTAAAAGAACAACTGCATACAATAATATGATTTCAGCGTCCTACTTCATACTTAGGTTTATGTTCACACTGGTGTCAGATTACAATATATAACTTAATTTGCGACAGTTAAAAATAAATATATCTGCTGACATTTTGGTGCTCAGCAGAAGCCTAGTGTTTCGTAGTTGTTTGAATAGAAGTAAAAGGGAATTGAGTAAACTTGTAACACTATGGGTACACACAACTTTTGATTACAGCAAAAATATCCTTCATTAATTTTATAGATGTTTAAGTGTTTTGTATTTAATGGTTAAAACATTTTACATTTAAAAGTAATATCTATGAAAGTTTGTATTTGATTTTTTTTTTTTTTGGTTTTTTGAGACAGGGTCTCACTATATATTTGAGATTGACCTGGAACTCACTACGTAACCCAGGCTGGTCTCAAACTCACAGCGGTCCTCCTGTCTCAGCCTCCAGAGTGCTGTGATTACAGGTGTGCGCCACTACACCCGGCTTCACACCCAGCTAGTTTGTATTTACTCTTAATGGTATATATTCAGTAAAACTAGTAAAATTACTTAAGTTAATAATGGGGGAGAAAAGGAATGTTTCTTTTAAAAGAGGTATTTACATTACTCATTACTGAAAAACACTGAAGAATATAATTATAATTCAAGGCATGGGATCATATATTAGAATTGGTATTCTAGATAAAAGCTATAAATGTGATGCCAAAAATAGTAAACAATTCTGAACCTTTCATTGTACATATGTACTATGAGGTATGATCCAAATATATAATGAATGTTTACTTTTAAAAAGCTTATTACAGTAATAGACATATTGCCATTAATCATCCTCAAAACACCACTCCTCACTTCAAATACACTTATATCATTCCTGCCACTTTCTGTAGTTCTGGAAATCTTTTGTTAGTGTCTTTATGAAGTGTGAACAAAAGTGAAAAGAAAATACAGTAGATGCTGCTGCCCAGTACCATCCAGTGGAAAGATGGTACTAAAAACAAGACACCCTGTCCTCATTCACGGTGTCCTGGCACCATGTGACTTCTGGCTCTTTCTCAAAGTCAAAATGATCTGACAGGTAAACATCTGGAATGGATTCAGGACATCAAGTCAGTCATTACAGCACAACTGAAGACATTCACAAGAGAGACTTTCCAAACTGCTTAAGAAAGTGGGAAGAACCACGTTCGGGGAACAGTGGTAATGTCTTCTGTAATAAATTTTTAAAAATTTAAACACGCACTGTAGTTTTAATCTTACCTCATATTCATATTAAAACAATGAAATGTTATGAAAGGAGACAACCTTAACTGTTTTTGTGATTGTGATCATGAGAAAAGTTAAAGAAAAACATACTTTAGCGGGATATCTAAATAACTTCACGAATCCCAAATCATCCCCGGTAGCTAGGACCATTTTGTCACTGGTGAGGCAAGAGGCAGTTACATCTGTGGCTTCTCCAATTACTGGCCAAATTCCCTCACAGCATACACCAAGCACACTTGTCCATGATGCCCAACTAATTTTTTCCACCTAAAAGAGAGAGAGAGAGAGAAAAAAAAAACTGCGCTGCTTGTAATACATAAACTGACAACCAAACTCAATCAAATTAACAACCTTTACATACAGTCCCCTCCTTTATTAAGTCATTTCATGTTAAATTTTGTAAGCATCTCTTCCTAGGACTTGTCAACAAAATTACTATTGTCAGGCACAGAACTAAATACAATTTAAAAAATTTTTTTAAAGCAGGAACTTGCTAACAAGCATCTTAGGTACACGGGTTCCCAGAGATGTAGCAGACATGCAGTACTTGAATTAGATGTCACCATCTCTGTCTGTCAGTGGATGCTCTCTGTGATTTGAAGACAGTGATTCAACCATAGTGGCTAGTGCTTTATTCCACTTCTTAAAATGTCTCTTTCTTTACTCATCTATATATTCTAGCCCACTAAAATAAACTCGCCCCAATAAAAGCTATAATTTGAGTAATGTGAATACAAGCCTCATAAGTTTATAAATGATGGACAGTAAGGATTAATTTTATAACTACTTTTACTTTTATATAAACACCACTATAAGCACCCGTCTCTTCCTACCTCCACACAGGGGATGCTTTGTTTTTTCCCTCTAGGAGCTTCAAAGAATAACTGTTCTTTAGCACCAGTGTTGACCTGTAAAAGCTTTCCTTAAAACAATATAGAAATAAGAAAGTATGAATAGTATATCATTAGTATGATGTCTATATTTTATGTGAAAACTAAGCTTAAATATAAAAATAATTTTATTTTATAGTTCATATATACTGACATACTTTCTTAATTTCATTATAATGAATTTGTTAATGGTTTAATTTTTGTGTAGGTAAATACATAAAAAATATTTGTTATGTATAATGCAAAAAGTAAAAAAACAAATACTAGAATGATTTTTAAAAAGTAACTGCAAATAATGTGTTTAACAATATTTGGAAAAAGCTTCATTTACAATATTAAGTTTATAAAATTGAAAATGTAAAATATCCTTAGAAAAGGGGCCATTTACAATATTTAAGATTTATCCAAATTTATCAAATATGTCATATGCTACATGTTCTGCTAAAAAACAAAGACACTCATTAAAAATTCTTTATGTTGTGTGACTATTTTTAGGAAATATATTTTATACCAACTATTGAGGAAATAATTTTAAATCATCATTAACACTTTTTGTTGTTGTTGTTTTTTGAGACAGGGTATTGCTATGTAGTCCAGGATGACTTTGAGCTCATGGCAATCCTCCTACCTCAGCCTCTTGAATGCTGGGATTACAGGCCTGCACTACCAAGCCCGGCATTCATCATTAACATGTTTATTTTCAAATTTGAAGTTTGTCAAGTTAATCTGACAAAACTAGTGCATTATCATGACTAAAAATATTTTTGTATAATATTTAAATGACTTTACAAATTAAACAACTACCATTATAGTCTATGGCCATACTACCCTGAATGCATCGGACCTCATCTGATCTCAGAATCTAAGCAGGGTCAGACCTGGTTAAAGTACTTGGATGGGAAACAACTACCATTATAATGACATTAAGTGAAGTATTAAAAAATACAGTAGGGCCAGGGATTTAGCTCAGTGGTTCTGGCGCCTGCCTCGCAAGTACAAGGACCTGCGTTTGATCTCTGGTAACTCCCCCCAAAAAAACCCCAAAAAGAAAGAAACAAACAAAACCAGTAAATGCTATAGTGCTCATGTTCAGATACAAAATAAAGCAATGGAAAATAATTTTGAGTGCTTGTTTGAATGTCTGTTTTTTTACAAGGCTTGTGAATCTATTAAATCATATTGCAGTTTTTTTTCTTTTAACAGCTACAATGCTAGGTGTGGTGTTTTACACTTATAATCCCATCACTCTGGAAGTTGAGGCAGGAAGATTTCAAGTTCAAGGTCAGCCTAGGCTATGTAGCAAGTTCAAGATTGGCCTGGAGTAAAATAGCAAGACCCTGTCTCAGAAAACTAAAAAAATTACAACCAAACAACATAAAAAAAAAAACCAAAACCAAAACCAAAATGTCCCAAACTACATTAAGTCAAATGAAAACTTCCTCAGATAGTAATTCATACCTCTCACATCCCAGTCAATGTGGGTTATGTGGCTGGTCGCGCCTTTGCATACTCCCACCCGCTTACTACTCATCACATTGTAAATATCTATAAAGCTGTCATGGGAGGCCACAGCGAGGTATTTTCCAGAACCTAAAACAGAAACACATTTGCTTGATATTTTGTACCCATGGAAATATTTTTTTATACTCTGTAACTGGAATTAATTTTCTTAATATATGTTGGGAGAAATTTCAGGTGTTTCCTAAATTATAACAAGACTGATGTGTTAAATAACAAATAACACATTTCAAATCATATAAATAATTAACTAAATGAAATATACTTTACTGTAATAAATTAGTTCAGTGAAGAGCAAATAACCAAAATTACACACACTGTAATTTTGATGCACATCATATTAAAGATACCCTCTAAAGTTAGGAAAAAAGGAAATTAAATCAGCAGAAGTAAATTTTGCCTTGACATTAGTAATTCCTATGTTATAGTAGGTTTACTAGTAGATAATGCATACAAGAAAATTGTTAGAGTAAGATTAATACAATTTCAAAAGAATTACAATTACAAAAGAAATACAATTTCAAAAGAACATCATGAAAAGAGCCATATAATCCTTTTTTATGTTACAAATGAAAACAACAAGATTAGAGAAGTTCCCTTGCCCAAGTCATAGGGAAATGTGGTGACATAAGAATTAGCACTAAACAAGATACTTGCACTAATCAAATACAGGGAGCTTCATCTCTCACAATATGGCCTCCTCTACTCAAAAAAAGTCAAATTCTGAGATGAAATAAGTTGCTAAAAAAACCACTCACACCAGACCAAAGTTAGTAATCAAATACACTTTCAATGTTATTTTACCAGGTGAAAATCGAATATCTGAGATGATATCCTTTCTGTGATGAAAAGAAACAAGGTCCTCTAGAGTATCTGCATTTGCCATTAAGAAACTTCCATCATTGAGACCTACAGCTAAAGCCTTTCCATCAGGAGAAAAACAGCAACATCTTCCACCTGAGAGAGAAAGAGAACACGTATCAGGTAATTCTTTAAATTAGTTTGTTTTTGACATGGGGATCAAACTCAGGCCCTTCTGTTTGTGAGGCAGGAGGCAGGAGTACTGAGCATGTACATGCAATTAAATTTTACTCCATTATGGTTAAGGCTTCTGTGAGTCCCCAGAGTCAGCAGGCAGTAAGACACCAAGGGGAAGGCAAGAAGGTTCCATGAACACAACTTTAATAATAATAATGATAACAATGATAAGCCAACTATTTCTCCCACACACAATGGAAATGTGGTATGTGGAACAGTCAGCACCCTACCCATGATTGTCGGTGGCCACCAAGGGAGCAATGCCTAGAGGAGAAGGTAAAAAGGAAATGAACCTTAGTTCTTTGATAAAAATCAGAAAGCAATATGGCAACAGGAGGCAGAAGAGAGAAAAAAATTGCCTTCCAGTGGTTTCTTCAGGTGGAGCAGAAACTGAGGGAAATGACACTCCCCAAAGCTTCAGAGAGGTAACTGTCTCCACAGGAGGAAATTGTGTGGTTAACTGAAACCAGGTGGTGACACCAGTAAAGGGGGGCTGTGTGAAAGATTTGGGTTATAGTTTTAACAACTGTGCCAATGTTTTTGTTTTTATTG